GATAGGGTTTCATACCATTTCCCTGGACGCGGGCATAGTCTTTCCCCCTCGCTCCCTCCTCATTGAAGTCTGCCATGCGTTTAGGATTTTGCCCGGCCAAATAACTCCTAACGCCCACCGGTACCTTCATTCCTTCGTAAATATTTGTACCCATCTGAAAATCTTCCCCTCTTTGCGTCTTTTCCTTTTTTGTTTCGAAGTCCTACCGGGCGGATCCGGCTGCGAAGGCTTTGTATTCTTCAAAGCCCGTACCGGTAGGAAGTTCATTTCCGAAGTCCCCCAGAGTAACCGGGGATGGAAGGAAAAATTTGTTTTCATCGAGTTTCCCCCCTTCTTCACTCCTCTGGCCGGTCTGAGATGGAACGACCATCTGCTCGACCAAGAGTACACTGCACCGGCTTCCTCCCCAGACTTGGAAGCGAATCTTGAGGTCCTCATGCCTGGGGATCCTTTCACCGGGAGGACTTTCCATTATGGCAGCTGGGTTTGGAGGGTCGAATCGGGTGGTGAGGGTACCTCCCCGGCCCATGACGCAGCGGGGCGCGTGGTACCCTCCCCGGGCAACACTGCGGAGGCTGAGGGCAACTCCCACCCAGGTACTTTTCATTTTTCTCGTGATTCGCAGTTGACCGGCCAAAGTATTTGTACTTAATGGTTTCAGTTTGTTTTGCAGATATGGAGTTTGAAGAGTTCGCCATCCCCGAGGACCAACCAGCTGGGGAGACCGGGGGCCCCCAAGCCAATCCTGCAAGGACTTTCCCGGTCAATCCAGAGACCGTGGAAATCCTGGATGAAGATGAGCCCCAAGACAACCGGTCTAAGGGGAAGGAGAAGGAGAAGGCCGGTCGCCGGGTTAAGAAGGTGGCCACCACGCACCCTTCTTACGCCAAGAAGAGGGCTAGGCAGGATTCTGAGCCGGCCGGTCAGACCATCGAAGAAGCCTTCATCAATCTGGGGTTGAGGCTGAAGGAGGTAAGTCTTGACGCCATCCCGATCTTTGTTTGTTTTTTTTTTATCGAGAGACTTACCGGTCTATTCCGTTTTTGTGCAGGCGGGGGAGATCGGGCCGCAGACAGTGGACCGGCTGGGAACGAGTTCCCCTTCTGAAGTCGACCGGCTGAAGAAGGAGAAGGAAGAAATGGCACTCATCCTGAGGAGCCAGGCTGATGAGCTGATCCGGCTGTCTGGGCTGGCCGGGGCAATGAAGACTGAGATCTCCCAACTGAAGGAGGAGAATGGCCGGTTGCTGGACGAGGTCTCTGAAGCCAAGAGGGAACTGGCGGAGAAGGAAGAAACCTTCCCCGGGCGCGCAGCTGCCTGGGTGGAAGAGAATAAGGCTGAAGCTGCCCGGGTGATGACGGCTAGCCCGGAAGCGACCATGGAATCCTTCAGGCTCTTGTACCGGGAGCCTGAAGGAAAGAAGATGATCACCGCTATTGGGTCCTTCGGATTCAAGAGTGGTCAGAAGAAGGATCGGGCTGCCTGCCACCGGATTTTGAAGAAAAGAGACCCAGAGTTCTCCGCAGCTTCTTACGGCCTGGCATCCATCCCGGAGGAAGAGCCTACTCCCCCCTTTCCCCTAGATTAAGAACTCCCCGACCTTGACCGGTTGCTTTGTAAACTTAAAACTCGTTTCCCCGGGAATGCCCGGTGTAAATGTAAAACATTTAAGGTTCTTATTTCGTACCGGTTAATCTTCCACTTTTGATTGCTTGTTTGATTTACTTTTTTGATCTTGCTTCTTAGAATACCATCGTAGAACTTCTGACCGGTATATAAGTTAGGCCACTTCTCAACTGTTTTCGACCGGTGGAACTTCAAAGTTCTCTTTGATCTCTTCATCTGAAGGATTAGCTCAATTGTTTTCGACCGGTTAAACGTCAATTTTCGCTTTTCGAACGTCTTCATCATTTTGGCCAACTTAAACAGTTTGACCGGCTGAAATTTACTTTTGCCTTTTGGATAACTTCACCAATTCTTTTGGCAAAATTTACTTTGACCGGTGAATGCCCACGCCATGGTTTGACCGGTCAACTGCCTTGCCTGATGGATGTAGAACTTTCGAAGTTCTGATGTGCCCATACCCGACCGGGGTATTCTTTTTTTTTTTTTCGGTAGGTTGTAGATGGAAGCACCTGTAACCTAGTAATTTCTTGAAGTATCCTTAACCGGTAAGAATACTGGAGATTTAACCATGTTCGAATGGTTTCGAACCCTCTCCAAGGTTCAAATGCACCCTTCTTCCAGGGCTCCCTCTTCCGCGTGATTAAGTCTTTTAATGGCCCTTTGATTTCTACCATCCCGGGAAGGCCTTAGCTCACCCCCCCGTTCAAGTCTTCCCTGAGAAGGGGGATATAGGATGCGCCACGGTGGACGATCCCCTGCTATTTCTTTTAATGGGCATCTTTTTAGTCCCCAATCAATCTGACGGCGCCGGCTGATTCCCCGACACCAGTCAAACCTCATGGGCCCGTGTAAGTACGGTTCGAACCCTCTTCCAGGTCCAGCCCTCTTGCAGGCATACCCTCTTCCGGGCCCCTCTTCCGGGTTTTGATATTTTTTCTATTATACTGAGCGAGACCGGTGTAGTAACCGGCGTGCCAGGTCCGGGCCTGTGTCTCAGTTGGCTTAGCCAAGTGGATTCGATCCACCCAGGAAGCCCTCCTAGGATAGGTTCGACCTATCAATCCTGCCGCTACCAAATAGAGTATTGAACATCATCGGTTTGATTGATAATAAAGTAGGCCTTGCCTAGTATTACAATCATTTGTAGAAC